TTGAACCCAGGGCCTTGTGCATGGGAGGCAAGCACTCTATCAACTGAGCCATATCCCCACCCTTTACATTAATTTTCCCAGTGACATTCAGGTAGTAAAATTCAGACTAGTTGGGACTGTAATTTTGCATTTTCGGGAAAGACTTCTCTTTTCCCTCTCCTTTACCCCTAAATAAAAACCAAGATTCTTCTCATGTCTTGCCCTTTGAGGGACCAACTTTATGTTCTGATTTTATAAGTTAAAATTTAAATTCCTAGATTGTTAAGACCTACAATCTCTTTCTGCTCCAGGTTAATAGTAGGTTGGCTTATGTGAGCTCATTCTGACTCTGAAAAATTCCTTTTCTTTGTACATTCAATCATGCATTTAAAATGCCAAAAAAAAAAGCTTTAAACCAATATGTTATTTTGCTCAGCATGTTGCCTTAACTTAAAGTGTGTATTTTTGTAAAAAAAGAAGTTTGATCCTCCTTTTTTTTTGTTTTTTTCCTGTCCATACAGGGGATTTCACACAGGGGTGCTTTACTACTGTGCTACATCCTTAGCCCTTTTTAAAATTTTTTATTTTGAAATAGGGTCTTGCTAAATTGCCCAGGTGGACCTTGTATTTGTGATTCTCCTGCCTCAACCTCTTGAGTAATTGGAATTACAGGCATGTGCCTTTGTACATGGCTAAATTTGCTTTTATTTTTTTTTAAGTTTTTATTTGTTTTAATTAGTTATACATGACAGTAGAGTGCATTTATACACTTTTATATATCATACATAGATGGGATATAATTTCTTATTTTTTGAGTGTACTTGCTGCAGAATCATATTGGTCATGCAGTCATATATATACATACAATAATAATGTCTGTTTCATTCTACCATCTTTTCTATCCCCACATCCCCTTTCCTTCCTTCCCATCACTTCCCTCTACCTAATCTTAGGTAATGCTATTCTTCCCTAGTGCCTCCCCGCCTTAATAAAAGTTAAGATTAAAGATGTCTGAAGCAGGGCTGGGGTTATAGCTCAGTGGTAGAGAGCTTGCCTGGCATGCCTGAGGCTCTGAGTTCGATCCTCAGCACTACATTAAAAAAATAAATAAAAATAAAGATATTGTGTCCATCTACAACTAAAACATAACTATGCTTTAGACATCTTTTTTTATTTATCTGGATGTAAACATAATAAGATGATCATCTGTTTTTTCATACAAACCAAGCATTATTTAAATTTTTACAGATTACCCTGAAATTGACTCATTTTAACTATTGATTCCTGGTCCAAAGGGCGTCAACCTTTATATATTGTATTTTTGTGTGTGTGCAGGGGCACTAAGGATTGAATCCAGAGGTACTCTTCCACTGAGCTACATCCCCAGCCCTCCTTAAAAATTAAAAAAATTTTAAATTTGGGGCCTTGCTGAGTTGCCAAGGCAGGCCTCAAACTTATGATCCTCTTGTCTCAGTATTCTGAGTCACACTATAGATGTGTGGCACTGTATCTGACTATACTCTTCTAAAAGGTGAATATGGTGATTTGGGATTATTTAAAATGCTGGATGTCTACAGAGTGTCTTTCATTTTCTTTTAGCTAGCAAATACTGCAAAATGTTAGTTGAAGAAGGAGGATTGCAGCTTTTGTATGATATCCAGGGGCACAGTCAGGCAAATCCTCAAGCACAGCAGATGGCAACTTCCATTCTAGAGGACTTCAGGATGCATTTCATGAATTATCGGAGTCTCCCTCTGAGTTGAAGACCCTTCTTAATCTGAGGGCTTCCAAGGTGCGCTCTGTTCCTCGTAACCAGGTCTTCCTTCCCTGTCAGTAACTGAATGTTGAAAATGTTTGTTGGTGTTTGTGTATTAGGTGTCTCATTGACCTTTCTTGTTGATTTTTTTGTAAATTATAAAAAAGTTAGATTTACATGCTAGTCATAATCCCTAATCAAGTTGGAATCATTTTATGGAAACCTCTTTAGCAGTAGTGTTGAAAAACCAGTTATTGTGGACTTTGTGGGGAGACTTGGGAGCTTGTGTTGGAATAGCTATGTTAGTTTTCTCTGACCCTGAACAGTTTTTCCACTTTGGGGAGTTTGTCAGTGAAACAGGACCTCTTTGCTGGGAAGAGGAAGGACAGACCTACAGGGAAATTTGGTATTTATGTTAAATTCCCTCATTTGTTATTCCTGGTATGTGAAGCTACCAGAAAAGAAGTATCTGAAGATGGGAAATAATATGTTTTCAAATGTTTTTTTGGCCAGGCACAGTGGTGCACACCTGAATCCTAGCTACTTAGGAGGAGGAGGCAGGAGGGTCACAAGTTTAAGGCCAGCCTGGCCAACTTAGTGAGATCCTTTCTCATAATTTAAGAAAAAGTGCTGGAGATATAGCTCAGTGATAAAGAACCTCTGGGTTCAATCCTCAGTCCTCAAGAGATGGGGGAAAATATCTAGAAAACGGAACCTGTTGGAAGGGGAGAAAAGATTTTCTTTTTTTAATCCCCCCCCACACCCCCCACAGATACTAGAGTACTTTCCATTTGAGAGGTAGAGGGAAAAGAATATATATTTTATAGTTTGGGATTTTTTTTTTCCTTTTCTTAAACTTTTTTATGGGTGCTCTTATTCAGCATGGAGTCAAAGGGGTCACTTTTCTGAAATCAAGCCTCAATTACAGCATAAACTCTATCAGAAGCTTTTGTTTGTTTTGTCTTCAAAGCTGCTCTGAGGAATAAAGTATGAATTCCTTCCTTGTCTTATTATTGACAACTGATGAATTTGCTTTGTCATTCATCTGCTTAAGTTTTCGTTTTTTTTCCCCCATAACAGGGATCAAACCCAAGGCCTCGCATGCTATGCAAGTACTTTACTACTGAGCTATATTCTCAATCTTCTGTTTAAGTTTTCAAATAACTAAACTAAATTCCTGTTTGATTATTAGCATATTTTAAGACTAGAGTTTTGTGCTTTTAGCTGGATTTACCTCTTAATTGAAGTATTGTGTGCCATCTTTGGGACTCATTGAGTATGTCGTTTTTAGTTGCTCTAAAACACATTACATACTCTTACTCACCAGTTTCCTCGCAGATAAGTGTAATTTGTAACCGAATCCTTCTTCAAACTGCACCCTTTATCTCACACTCACTCTTCTTCATGATTCTAGAAATAGTTTCTTGATCTAGTTTCCAGGTTTCCAGTACCTTGGAACATTGTGTTATTAGATTCTAACTTTTGCTAAAGGATGTGTCATGGGAACCAGTATCTTTTTTTTTTTTAGAATTTTTTAATATTTATTTTTTAGTTTTCGGCGGACACAACATCTTTGTTGGTATGTGGTGCTGAGGATCGAACCCGGGCCACATGCATGTCAGGCAAGTGCGCTACCGCTTGAGCCACATCCCCAGCCCGGGAACCAGTATCTTTTGAGATCCAACTGTGCACCAGATATTCTTCCAGTTTTGTCTCTTTCACAGCCATTTTCTGGGGTACATAAATTATTCTCCTCACTTAACACATGAGAAAAAGGAAGTTCAGAAAGGTTGTTACTTTCCTGAGTGGTCATTCACCTGGTGAGGCTGGTGCTGATTCTAAGGATTCAACTCCTCTGTGCTGTTCTTCGTACCAGAGCACACATATAACCTTGGCACATTTGTATTTAGCAGCAAGTAGCACTGTTAGTGGTATGTGTCCCTGCCAGTGTTTAGTGACTCTGGGCCAGAGTATGTGCTAAGAATGCTCAGCCAGTTATAGGATGACCATGAGGTCACCTTGGTAGAAGAGGAGGAGAAGGGTATTGAGACTAGTGTGGATTCACGAATACTAGGTCTCCCCCAACCCCTTTATTTTCCAAGTGTGTTATCCTCTTGCTCACCTTTGCCCATGCTGTTCCCATCAACCTTCCTGATGGTTTTTTACCTCCACCCTGTACTGGGGTTTCAATCCAGGGCCTTGTGCTTACTAGGCAAATGCTTTACCACTGAGCTATATCCCCAGCCCTCAGCCTTCCTCTTATTCAAATGCCTGTTACTCCTCCAGGCTCATCTTCCATGGTTGCCTGCTCATTTCCCAACTTTCCCTTCTGTTCATCAGAATTAACTGCTCTCTTCTCTGTGCTACTGAAGGCCTGGAAAAGTCTTCGTGTCATTCTGTAGTTTATAAAATGCTTTCAGAGTAGTGATTTCACTTGTTCTCACTAAGTATTACAACATATATTTTGAATATGAGGGTTTTTACAAAAAATTTTTTTAGTTGTAAATAGACAACAGTACCTTTATTTTTATTTATTTTTCTGTGGTGCTGAGAATTGAACCCAGTGCCCCACACATGCTAGGCAAGTGCCACTGAGCCACAATCCCAGCCCTGAACATGAGGGTTTTTAAATCTTCACAACAGATTCATTTTATAGAAAAGGAAGCTGAAGCCTATAGAGGCTAAATGGTTTGTCCAAGGTCATATAGCAAGAAAGTGTCCAAGCTGGAATTGGCAGTCTAACTCCTGATACAGTGTTCAATCAATACTAGGATTTATTTATTCTTTCTTTTCCAGAGGAAAAAACGAGGGCCTTCTTAAAACCCCTTGCTGACTCTAGTAATTACCTGATCACTGAAAGCCAGGGATTCTCCAAAGTAAATCCGATACTAATCATTATGTAGCCAATGTGAGTAATAAGGAAAGTGGCAGTAGACACGTGATTAGCACCTTGGTATCAGGCACAACCCTAGCCATTTTATGTCCATCATCATCCTTGTGAAGAAACTGAAGGCCAAAGAGGTGAAGTGATGAGGGTCATCCTGCTGCAAACTTTCCATCTGGATCTTGCTCAAGGCATGCATGTCCTATACTTAAGGTTAAATGTCATTTGCCAACAAACTCTGGGGGCCTTTTCTCCCTGAAGGCTGCCATGCCCTCCAGCCGGTCCTGGGTTGGGATATTCTGCAACAGTGTATAGAATATTAGTTTTGGAGAAGCAGAGCCAGAGGCCAAACAGCTGCTTAAGCCTGTCCACCCCTAACAAGGCCAGGGTCCAAATGTTTCCATTATTTTTGTACTTGGATCTTGGATTCCTGGTCTCCTGGAGAAGACAGGGCAGTCTCTGGCACCTGTGCCTGCCCACCATGGGCACCTCTTGTGCACTATGCACATGCATGCAGAGAGGTCACCACCTCTTGTAGCAGTGTGAGGAGGCTGCTTGCAGCAAGAAGTCTAGCAGTGTAATTCTCACTAGGTTATACTGGTCCCAACACCCTGTTTCAGAGGATTTTGATATTTTCCTGAAAATCAGCATATTTTACTCACCCGAGAGTCAAGCCAAATAGGTCAGGCTCAGGTTTATAGCCCCTGCATTGGGCACAGTCTGTAGGTTTTAACCAAGCCTGACACCTTAACTCCAGCCTTGCCCCTATAGTGGTGACTGGTGCTGAGGATCGAACCCAGTGCCTCACACATGCCAGGCAAGCGCTCTACCTCTGAGCCACAACCCCAGCCCCTGTGTGGTCTCTTATAAGTCTATGGGCACTAACTGGGCAGAATGTACCACCATTAGGTAGTTGAACAAACAGTCTTAAGGGGTTTCCCTGGAAATACCTTAGAGTCAGACTGTTTGGGCTTCTTGCTTGGTCATGTATCACCCAAGGCTCCCCTAGTCTGGCCCACTGTCTACTAACAAGTGTTTGTGGACTAGCAACAGACACATACCTGGGCATAACACATCCCTTCAATGGCCATCCCTGATGTGATGTCCACCTGAAAGAAAGAAGTGCTTGCTGGATCAGCCTGGCTTTGTCCAGCTCCATCCACATGCACTGACAGCCAGCCCACTCTACTGCGGACACCAGCCTCTGGGAGCAGAGGGAACTCTATCTGGAGAAGGAATACCATTTATAACAGTGGCAAAACAGTGCTGAGAGAAATGGGGGCTGAGAACCATGGGGAGAGTTGATGATTCTTCAAAGAAGGGGGAGCAAGAGCTACACAGTCAAGCCAGAGTCCTTTCTTCCTTCCTGGCCACCTCACTATGCCCCTACCCTCACCCTGTCACCCCTAGGAGTTAACTGTTGGCTTCTTCCCTTAGGAAGGAGCCCCAGGCCTTGACCTGGTACATTCTCTATCCTCTCTTGTCCACTGACCTGTACTGTCCTAAAAATACTACATGTGTAGTCTCATTTACTTTTCACAACCAAGGGCCATTATGGCTGTTACTCAGCTGAGAAATGTAAGGCAGTAGTAGAAAGGTTCCAATGATAATAGTTTGTGGAAGAGCAGGGCTTTGGACTCGTGTGGTCCAGCACCAAACCTGTGCCCCTCTCTGCTTCCAGGCTAAATTGTTGTGTCTTCACTCCACCAGAGTCAAGCTGCTTAATTATATACCTCTGTGCCTTTGTTCATGCTTTAACCTTTCTCTGAAATTCTTATCCTTTTCAAGGCCCAATTCTAGAAAACATTCTTAAACCCAGTATTGCCCAGTGTAGTAGCCACTAACCACAAGTGGCTGTTAGAAAGCACTTGGACTGTTGATTAGTGTGTAGGGAAATTGGATATTTTTATTTGCTTTTCATCGAGTTTAACAGCATGTGACTAAGCTATGGATAGCCTCACCCTAACCTTTCTGGGGTGTCTTCTCAGTGCCATAATGTTCCATTAGTGATTTGTGTCTATATATTTTCCTTCCCCACCTAGTGGGTAGTGACCATATTTCATCTCTGTTTCCCACTTCCCAGCTGAGGCCTGGATTCAGTGTAAGTGAATTGGTTTCTAGGAATGGATTAGCTGCACCCAGTGCATCATGCTGAGCCCTGCACTTGCAGCCAGATACTGCCGGCACAAACCCAAGAACTTTGATTAGGAGCCACACAGATCCAGGTTCTTATTCTTCACTTCTTCTGTTATCTTGGGCAAGACATTTACATTTTCTGAACCTCAATTTCCTCTCCTCTCCTTTGGAGAGAGTTGAGGATAAAATGTAACCAAGAATATTGTCTGGCCAAACTTGCCATTTTGTAGATGGGTAAACTGAAGCACACACAGAGAGGGGTCAGGCTGGGAGTTTGTTAGATGAGTTCACTTCCTGAGTTCTTTTCAGCTGTGTTGTCTGGCTGTAAGGATGGGGAAAGTACTGCATCCCAGTCACAATTAACTTTAACAACTCAAGTCCTGACCTGGTGGAATCTTACCTCCATTCCTCGGTCAATGGCTACCTTGCCTAGCCGCACAGCAATGGGGGCCTAGGAAACAGAAAACAGTGGTTGAGGGAGGATCAGTGCTGAAAGGTTTGAATTGAAGGGAGTAACAACTTTATTGTAAGGTATGGGTTTTGGGTCTAGACATTTGTGTCTAGTCCTAGCTTGGGCCATTCTATTGTCAATTGTACTTCATAGCATTAGACCTGCCTCTTAGGTTGAATTTCCTTTTCTACAATGAAGGAAGTAGACTCTGATTCTGACCTTCCCCATCCCAACTGACTGGGTTTTTTGTCAGTCAATCCATCCTTCCAATGTGTACAACATCCCACAGTTTATAAAGTGCTTTCTTATCCACAGACTTGTCAAATAGTGCTACCCATCTTCCAGTCTGGTGTCTTCATTAGTCCCCCATTTTACAGATATGAAATTGAGACCCAAGGAAGTAAAGCATCTAGTTACATTTATATAGTGAGTCATCGGACTCCTGCTTCCTTCCTCTATCCCCCTCATCTCAGCAACTGCAAACCCCACTGTTTCCTTTTTCTGACTTTTACTTTATGCCCTTCTTATTCCTCTGTTCTCTTTGTTTGCCATGAATATGTTGTTATGTTGGTAACTACACAATAAAGAAACATCTTTCACTAAAGAAAGTAAAAGCCAGGCACAGTAGTGCAAACTTGTAATCCCAGCTACTAAGGAGGTTGAGGCAGGAGAATTCCAAGTTTGAGGCCAGCCTGGGCAACCTTGCAAGAACCTCTCAATGGGTATGGTAGTGTGGCACATGGCTGTAATCCCAATGGCATGGGAGGCTGAGGCAGAAGGATTACAAGTTCAAAGCTAATCTCAGCAATTTAACAAAGACCTAAGCAACTTCATGAGACTGTCCCAAAAAATAAAAAGAGCTTGGGATGTGGCTCAGTTGTTAAAGTGTCCCTGGGTTCAATTAAAACAAAAAAAACTTGTCTCAGTAAAAAGGGGTGGGGGTCAGGTGGCTGGTGATATATAATGAGTGGTTCAGTGGTAGTGTGCTTGCCTGATATAGTGAGGCCCTAAGTTTGCTCCCTAATATCAAAACAAAAAACCAAATTAGTTAACATTTAACATGTTTGATGTTCAAATAGAAAACATATCCAAATCCCTTATTCAAAGTATAATGTATATTTGCTACTTAAGAGGGAAATTCAAGTGTAGAGATAAGAACTTTGCCTTTACAGTATTATTTTTAAAATTTATTTATTTTACAGTAGAATGCATTTGCATTTACAGTATTAATAGTTTAAACTCAACCATCTATCACACTGACCTTGGCACTCTCCCCATCTGGGAAACCTGTATCACCTCCACCATTCACTACTATCCACCCTTATTGGAAATTGAACCCAGGGCCTCACATGTGTTAGGCAAGTGCTCTCTCACTGAATTACATTCCTAAGCCTTTTTAAACTTTTAAATTTTGAGATGCCCAAGCTGGACTTGATCTTGCAATCCTCCTGCCTTAGCCTCCTGAGTTGCTGAGATAATAGGTGTGTACCACCATGTCCAGCTCTGGGAAAAGTTCATTCTGAATTTCCAGTAAAATAATGCAAGTTGAAGGTTGTTTCCCTGAAAACCCCGCCCCCTCAAGAAGGTCCCAGCTGTGGAATTCATGACTATAGTTACTATGTTTTGGTGGGCTGATGTTTTGGTTTACAGAACTACTGTTTTCTTTTTTGATACCAGGGAATAAACTCAGGGGCACTTGACCACTGAGCCACATCCCAGCCCCATTTTTTTTATTTATTTAGAGACAGGGTCTCACTGAGTTGCTTATTAATTAGCTTCTCATTTTTTGCTGAGGCTGACTTTGAACTCACAATCCTCCTGTCTTAGCCTCCTGAACCACTGAGCAGAACTACTTTTAAGTATTCAAATAATCAATAATTTTTATTAGTATGCTGCCATTATTTCAGTATACATGGAAATATAAATCATCTTGAGCTTCTGTTACCCAGTTTATACAAAAAGGCACTATACACAGTCTAGTTTGATGCTCTCAATGGAATCTGCCGCCAGCCACTCCTTGGAGTCATTCTGAACTCTGTATGAATTTGAAGACTTTCTGACCAAAAGTAATAAGAACCTTATAGCATTAAAGTGGTCCAGGAAAGGTCACCAGAATCTCCATTTAATATAGTGAAACACCCCTCACACTAAAAATGAAAATGAAATTCAATTTTGCGGGAAGCTACTGGGGATTTAATCCAGGGGTGCTCAACCATGGAGCCACATCCCCAGCCCTTTTTAGTTATTCTTTATTTTGAGACAGGGTCTTGCTAAATTGCTTAGGGCCTCGATAAGTTGCTGAGGCTGGCTTTGAACTTGCAATTCTCCGCCTCCGCCTCCCAAGTCACTGGGATTACAGGTGTGCACCACTGTGCCCGGTGAAATTCTGTTTTAAATGCAAGTCATTGTCAATTCCAAAAGTAGATAGTCCCTAATACCCAAATTTTAAAAAATCTCAGTTATAAAAGAGGATTATTTCAGTTTACAGGGAATTATTTTCTGTTTCTCTTTTTTTCAAAACAAAACACTATTTATGGTTATTGAAATGATCTCTGTTAGTGGTATGGCTCACATTTTTACAGGTTTATATTTTAACTGCTTTGTAATGTTTGTAAAGTTTTTGTATTTGAAATGGATTATATATTTGGCTTAAAGTTTTTAAAATTTTGTATGTTTTGCATTCTTAAAGTCATGAGTTTTTAATATTATGTTTCGTGCAAAATAAATACCCAAATACCAGTGTTTGCTTTTTTTTCTGATATTGCAATCACTTTTTGTGACCTTAATGAGCAAATCACTTAATCTTTCTGTGTCTATTTTCTCAAAAATAATAATTAACCCTACTGTTTTATTCTAGTTAATTGAGACACTGTATTAAAGTACCTAACATTGTGTCTGACAGATTAAAGGTACTTGGTCCAGGGTGCATCAATATTATTTTAAATTATTTAAACCTAACTACATTTTAGCAGCTTTTATGAATATGGAAACTTGAGACCTTATCCATCCCACCCTACCCCTCTTACCCCTCATGCCTCCTGTCTGTCCCACTTAGTGAAAAGCCAGCAGAGCTTCTCAGGGCCTTGGGTACCCTAGCCAGCCAGATCCTGGGTATCCTTACTGGAACTTTGGCCCTGCAGCTGGTAGGGTTGATTCTGGGTCAGGCCTAAATCTGTTCCCTAAGGAGCAGTTCTAAACCCTTTGGGAAACTATCTCCAGAAAGTATTGTAGGATTTTATTTTTATTTATTTTGCTATGGTGGAGATCAAACCCAGAATCTTGTGTATGCTAGTAGATAAGCACTCCACCATTGAGCCACACCTCCATTACCTTGAAGATTTTAGGAAATTAATGAGTCTTAACACATGTCCTGCATATTTTAAGAAATTAATTATGCAGTGTGTCAGGAAACATGGCACATGGTAGTTTTGCATCCACTTAAGAATCTTGCTTTTTCAGTCTTTGGGGATACTTAAAGGATGTTTTGTATTATACAATAGCCACTGGCCACTTGCCTTGAGAATGTAGCTAGTGTGAGGAGCTAAGTTTTTTGATTTAATAACTTAGTATGAGTCTTCTGCCATCCTGGACAGCAGAGATGGGCAGCATTGCCATCATCCGATATGGACAGTGCTATTCTAATGGTTATGAGTCCACTGGATTTCAGCCCTAAAGAATTCAATTTTTCTTTTAATTCAAAATTAAAATTCGCTTTGATTTGTTTACTGAAAGAGTGGGAAAACTCCAAAGAGAGTTCATTTTATGTCTTTGAGTAAATGGATGTTGTGCAGCCCCAAGGAATACCTTTACCCTTAGGGCCTCCAATGTCCCTCCAGCCTGTGCTTGGCTGTCTACACACCTGGGGTAGAATCTCCTGAGCCAGTGCTAGTGCCCGATGGTAGGCAGCATCACCTTCCTTGTTCTGGTCCACGGTGTGATTCACTAGTCCCAGTGTGTGGGCCTGTACGCCACTCAGACGTCGGCCTGTGAAGATGAGCTCCTTCGCCAGGGCCACCCCCAAGCAGCGGGGCAGCCTCTGAGTCCCTCCTGCCAGGATGGAGGGTAAGTGAGGTTGAGAAGGGGGAACCCAGGGAAGCCCCATCCTGGTAATTGCCTGGATTTCTCAGAGTTGCAGATTGAGGTAGGATGGGAGGACAGGGCCCAGGGTAAACTAGGAAAGCAGGCAGGGAAGGGCTTTGATGGTGTAACTGGGCAGAGAGAAGGTTAAGGCTGTAGGCAAGATTACCTGCCCCTGGGAGGAGCCCTCGAGTTGTCTCAATCAGTCCCATGATCGCAGAGGAAGCTGTTTAAATAGAGGAGAGTAAAGTACTCCCTCCCAATCCCATCCTTCATTGCAAATTTCTGTGGAGAAGAGACTCCTGCTTTGGTCTCCTCACCCCTTCAGCCACTTCTCTCCTCATGTGGGCACACCCATGCTTACCCAGAGTCTGCCTCTGGAAGAGCCCTAACCTGGAAGTCCAGAGACCCAGTCACACATCTCACCACCCTCTGTGTAGTTGTGAGTCACCAGCAAGTCTCTGCCTTCCTGAGCTTCAATGATGGAAAAAAAAAAAAGGTGATTGTTCCTCTTCTGCCTGATTCAGAGTATAATGGTTTGAAAGAAGAACTGGGGTTCTTCTTTCAAGAAGATGCCTGATACCTCCTCTGTCTTAGTGGATTCTCTGTCCTATGGACCCTTAGCTCTGGCCTGTCCTAGAGTGTTGATGGATTCTGTTCCAATCATGGTTATACCTCCCAACATTTTTTTTTTTTTTTTTTGGTCACAGTCTGAGATCTCCCTGATGGTCCTCCTCCTAAGTTCTGCTTCCCCTGAGAAGCTTTATTTGATCCACATACAGGCCTCTCCTGAACTCCCTCAGCACAGAGCATCTGACCCATGCAGTGTAGGTAGAACGAACTGGCCGTGTCACTGCTTTGGGGGAGTTTCCCACTCTTAATCTCTTGTCATCACAGAAACCCTGTGAATTAATTGCCTGAAACATGTGAGAAGCAAAATTGGGGCTATGGTCTGGTACTTAGTGCCACACTACCTGGTCAATTCTTTGACATACTTGGTGTAGACAGAAGCCCCCTTCATGCCTGGAGCTACATATTTTTGAATGCTATGCCTGGAGTAACAGGAAAAGCTTGGGGGAGAGGTACCACCACATACTTACTACCTCCAAGAATGGCACTTCATTAACAAGTCAGCGACCTTGTAAAGCCATCAGCTGAGGGCTGGGAATGTGGGGATGTAGCTCAGTAATAGAGCACTTTCTTAGCATGTGCAAGGCCTGGGTTCAATCCCCAGTAACGCAAAACAACAAACAAATAAAAAAAACCCCATCAGTTATCTTCTTCCCCTTCCTCAAGGCTCAACTGCAGAACAAGTAGTGCCAACAGTGAATCTAAGGGCAATCAATATTCTGCTCAGTCACCTTGCAACTAGCTGGGCCAGTGACCAACTGCCTCTTGGCTCAATCAATGGTATAATCTGACTTGGACAGAACTGGAAGGTTGAACATGATCTCTGCCCTCCTTGGCTTCCCTTCTCCATGCTCTTTTTGCTGTCCTGTCATCAGTTGCTCTGACGTCTGTGTGATCATACTGAGGGAAGCAGTTCTCATAGGTAAAGGCTTGTGTTCCCTCTGTGTCTCCCCCTACCCTCCTTCAGCTTTTCTCTTGGAAGGCCAAGAGCAGAGGCTGACTACAGAACCCCAACAGCCTGTTTCACTAACCCTCCCCTCTTCACCCCCTGCCCATTACCTGCCACTCGAAGGTCACAGGCCAGGGCAAGCTCCAGGCCCCCGCCCAAGGCAAACCCATCCATAGCTGCAATGGTGGGTGCTGGGAAGGCTGCTGTGGAGATGAAGAAGGGTCAGGACCAAGACAGACACCCACCTCTGGTGAGGGGCAAGCTAGTTGGAATAAGGGACTCACTAGCCCTAGGTTTGGAGACCTCCCTTGGTACCTCAGCCAGGTTAACTGGGAAGTCAGTTTTGCCATGGGGAAGGGAAACAGGGAATGGAGATGCGAGTGGGAGATGGGCTGACTGTGCCCCAGCCTTTCTGTGTGCCAAGCCCTGTGCTAGGTGCTGGGAACCCAGACCTGAAGGTGTGACCCCTGTCCCCATGGGGCTCAGTCTAATGGGGAAGGCAAATGGACAAAATGACTGATAGACTGGTACTCCAATAAAAAAATCTTGGAGGGTGGGTCAGGAAGGCCTCCTGAGAGAGGAAGCATGGAGACCTTGAAGGAGAGTGAAAGTTCAGGAACCCAAGAAAGGGTATTCCTGGCAAAGATTCCTGCAACTGTCAAAGCCTAAAGGCCTGTTTGGTGAACTTGACTCCTCTGGAATGGCTAGACTTGAACCCTAAGAGTGGTCAATAGAATGGAGCACAAAGGCAGAAGAGCCAGGGTCCCCTCTGGGGTAGGAATGCTCTCTGCATCCTCTTATAGAATTTCTTGTGGCCATACCCAAATCTGTCTACACATGTATTCTCTTTAGAGGGTGGGTGAGGAGGGGCTGGCATCAGGAGTTTCCAACCCTGGACCCCACTCCCAGATCTCACCAATGTCATTCATCAAGCCTCGGAGTCGCTGGACAAAGACCCCCACCTCTGCTGCACTCATCTGCTCCCGCTCCTTCAGGTCTGCACCTGCAGATGGCGAGGGTTTGGTGCCATCCCTTGGGAAAATGGCTTGTTATGGAATCTAACCCTAATCCTTTAGGTGGCTAAAGGATCCAGCAAAGGAGTCTTGAGGTGAAGCAGCCAGAGAAGAAGGAGAAACACCAGGAAACACAGTCAAGGAAGCCAGAAGGAGAAAGAGGAGTGCTGAAAAAGGAGAGATGCAACAACCACAGCAAAAAGACAAATGAGGCCAGCGCAGTGGTAAATGCCTGTAACCCCAGCGATTCTGGAAGCTGAGGCAAGGGGATTGCAAGTTTAAGGCCAGCTTCAACAACTTGGAACCTGTCTCAAAAATTGAAAGGTCTGGGGATGTAGCTCAGTGATGAAGCACCCCTAGGTACAATTCCTGGTACCAAAAAACTCAAAAACCAAACAACAACAACAAAATGAATTGGACTTCATCAAATAAAATAACTCTTGTGCATCAAAAGACAAGAGAGTGCAAAGATGATCCATAGAATGGGAGAAAATATTTGCAAATCATATATCTGATAAAGTATTAACAACAGGGCTTGGGGTGTGGATCAGAAGAGAGAGTTTGTTTAGCTGTGTGTAGCCTTGGGTATGATAGCTGGCATATGTCTGTCTGTCTCTCTCTCTCTCTCCCCCACCACACACAAATTATTTCCTAAGATATATAAAGAACCCCTACAAATCCAGAACAAAAAAAAAAGGATTGATTCAAAGTAGGTAAAGGACTTGAATACACATTTCTCCAGAGAAGATATGCAGATGATCAATAGCATACATAAAGATGCTCACCACCATCAGTCTTTAGAGAGATGCAAGTCAAAACCATACTTCCTATACATTAGGATGGTTATTATTTAAGAAATAGTGTTGGCATGGATGTGGAGAAACTGGAACCCTAGAATACTGCTGGGGGTAATGTAAAAGATGTAGCTATTTTGGAAAACAGTTTGGTGGCTTCTCAAAAACTTGAGTGTAGTAGCACATCCTGTAAATCCCAGCTATCTGAGAGGCTGAGGCAGAAGAATCATGAGTTCAAGGCCAGCCTGGGCAACTTAGCAAGATCCTGTCTCCAAATAAAAAGGGATGGAGATGTGGTTCAATAGTAGAACACCCCTGAGCTAAATCCCTGGTATCACAATAAATAAATAAAGTTACAATTCCAGTCCTACATCAACACTCCAAGGAGTTGAAAACAGGAACTCACCCAGATACTTGCATAGCAGTGTTCACATGGGGCATTATTCACACTGACCCCAAAGTGAAAAGCACATGAATTGGTAAACAGAATGTGTTTGGTAAACAGAAGTTCTGACACCTAGTTACAACATGGATGAACCTTGAGGACATTATGCTATAAGTGAAATGAGCCATACACAGAAAAGAAAATATTTCATGATTCTAGTTATATAAGGCATCTAGAATAGGCAAATTCATAGGGAAGAAAATAGAATAGAGATAGGTTGTCAGGGACTGGGGTTGTGGGAGATCATAGGTGCACATGATCCTAACAGCTCAGACCAAAGAGCTGAGCCATATTCTCTTGACTCCTGAGCAATCTTGACCCCTTCACAGCCTCTTCATGCTTCCCTCATGGTCCCTGTTTTCCCCTTCCCAACCACCATTCCAGAGTCAGTTCTCAGCTCAGCTCTCTTGATTTCTCACTGTGGACCTGCGTACATTTTCCCCTACCTTTGAAACTGAAGTTCATAGTGCTGGTTCTGTTGTGAGAACCAAATAACAGGTGCAGTGGACAGCTTTGGTAACAGACTGGGATTGATTGTATGGGTGAATAAAGAGGCAGAGTCCCATCTTAGCCACTGACCTGTGAACATGTTTGGATTCAGTTTCTTCATTTCCTCAGTGAGGGGTCAGAACAAAGTATGGGATAGCAGAAACAACATAATGTGGTGTCAGAGAGGTCAAGATCAAACTATCTCATATGGCTGTGTGACCCAAGGCAAGGAATTTTACTTCTCTTAGAATTTGCATTTGTAAACTGGAAATATGTATCCCTGCAGGCTGGTGGGAGCCCTGCAGGGGACAGAGAGGGACCCACCTGCACAGAACACACCCTTCACTCCACTTCTGAAGAGCAGGACACGCACTTTCTGGTCCTCCTGTAGCCGGGCCAGAGCATCCAGCATCTGCAGAGGGCATCCTGTCAGTTACTTCCTAGTCCATCCCCAGCCCCACCTTGGCGCCCTCCTTTCTTACCTCGCTGACGAAGATGTTTCCCAGGGCATTGCGGGCATGGGGTCTGTTCATCAGAATCTCAGTGATTCCTGCAGGGGACAGGGCAGCCTTGAGTGAGCTGGCTCTGCTTACCCACAGGGTGGTTGGAGGCAAGAGGCCTGGGTGCTGGGAAGCCTCTGCCCTTGATGATCAGTGGAACTTGGGGCAGGTCACAAACTTCAGCCTCAATTTTTCCAGCTGTAAAATGGAGACAGTAATCTTTGCTCTTTCTGCCTCTCAGAGGAAGTAGAAGGGCTTGTGAACCACAAAGCAAAATGGGATGAGGAACAGGAGACAACCACAGGAGCCCCTGCCTGCACAAATCAGCACCTTCAATTTCACAGCTCCTTCCATAATTTTCTTCCTTTCACAACCAAACCTCTTCCTCTAAAGAATTAAAATAAGGCAAAACTCTTATAATCACCACCCAGGATCAAGAACTGGAATTGTGCCAACCATTTCAGCAACCCCTCATGTGCCCAGACTCAGCCATAGCTCCCTCCTTGACCCCCCAGAAGTAACTCTTCTAACTTTTGTGTAATCACTTCCATATATTTCTTTATAGTTTCCTTGCCCAAGTATGATTCCTTAGACATCACAGATTAAACAGTGCTAATTTAAAATTTTTAATGTCCATTAAAAAGTTATTAGAATCCTGAGTCTCCCTCTAGCTTGGCCCTTCTCTCAAAAGCTATTTGTTGAGGAAACAGTAGGGTTTCTCAAAGTCTAGATTTTGCTGAAAATCATGAGGGCAAATGAACCTGCTTTTTTTAAAAAATATTTTTTTAGTTGTCAATGGGTTTTTATTTTATTTATTTATATATGGTGCTGAGAATCAAACCCAGTGCCTCACACATGCTAGGCAAGCACTCTACCACTGAACCACAACCCCAGCTCCTCAACCTGCTCTTCTGTCACAAGAAATTAGCAACTAAACCCAGAGGGATTTTTGTTTTTTGTTTTTGATACTGGAGATTGAACCCAGGGACTCTCTACCACTTAGTTACATTCCCAGTCCTTTTTATTTTTTATTTGGAGACAGAGGAATCTAACTAAGTTGCCCAGGTTGGCCTGGAATTTGTGATCCTCCTGCCCCAGGCTCCCAAGTCACTGGGATTACAGGTATGTGCACCACACTCAGCTTAAACACTTTTACAGTTTACAATAAAATTGAGCAGAAAGTGCAGTGCAGAGAGTGCCTATGTTCCTCTGTCCCCACTTAGGCACGGTTCCCTCACTAGCAGCATGCCCTACCTGATTGGTACATCTGTTACAATCGATGAATCTACCCTGACACATCATCCCTGGAGTTCCTAGTTCACACAAAGATTTGTTCCTGGTGTTACCCTTCTTGGGTTCTTTTCTACCAGGTTGTCAAAGTTCCTTTTTTTTTTTTTTTTTTTTTTTATACTCAGGGGCACTCGAGCCATATCCCTAGCCCTATTTTGTATTTTTTAATTTAGAGACAGGATCTCACTGAGTTGTTTAGCACCTTGCTTTTTCTGAGGCTGGCTTTGAATTCGCAATCCTCTTCCACTGAGCTTAAAGTTTCTCTTTTTTTTTTTTTTTTGCAATAGTAGGGATTGAACCCAGAGGCTCTTTACCCTCAAGTTACATGCCCAGCCCTTTTTATTTTTTGAGACAGGATTTCATTAAATTGTAGAAACTGGCCTCAAACCATAATCCTCCTGTCTCAGCCTCCCAAAGTAGCTGGGATTACAGGTTGCACAACCTCACCTAGCTGTACATGTTTGTATTTAACATGTACTGGCTTCTATATGAGACATTGATTCCAGAGACCAGGACAGACTCATGGAACTTACAATCTAGCGGAGAAAACAGATATTAAATAATTACTATTTGTAATATGAACTCATAGGGAAAAAAATGGATAAGCAGGTAAGGGACATGCTAAGGGGCAGAGGCAACCCCCTTGTAGGTCAGCTGATTCCCCAAAGGACAAAGTGACCTTTAAGTTGAGAACTGATGGAAGAAAGAAATCAGGCAAAAAGTTTGAGTGCACATGTGTGTGTATGAGTGTGTGTGCATCATGTACACATATGTGCATTCACATGTAAGTGCACATATGTGATTGGATGTGCATGAGTGCTGGTTGTCAGGGTGGGTGCAGACAGTCCAGGAGTGAAGCACATTGCAAGCAGAGGGAGCAGCGAGCTGAGGACCTGGTGCAGGGAGAACAGGGTGCCTTCCAGAACTGGAGGAATTCAGTGTACAGGGAGAGCCTGTGACATGGGGCCTGTGCCTGCTGATCTGCCTTTCTCTTCAGAGAACACCCCATGTTCATTTGTTATAGAGCAACAGAAAACTAATCTAGTCACCATGTCCTAACATTGACAGAAATGTTCCCCTCTCTGCTTTGCTTCCCTGTTCTGTCCTTCCTTTCTCTCTGACTGATTCTCTCATCTTTTAACTTTATCTCTTCTCCCATTTTTATGTTATGCCCAGAATACTGACTGCCAAATCACTGTTTTTTTGTTTTTGTTTTTTTGGTTTTTTTGGCTACTGGGGATTGGACCTAGGCACTTTACCACTGAGCCATACCCCAAGTCCTTTTAATTTGTTTTAAATTTTGAGACAGGGTCTCGTTAAGCTGTTGAAGCTGGTCTTGAACTTGCAATCCTCCTGCCTCAGCCTCCCAAGTCACTGGGATTCCAGGTGTGCACCCACCATGTCAAACCTGACTGCCAAATCAGTCTTTGGCTCAAGTCACAGCTCAAATGCACCAGCTCCATGGCCTTGGATAAGTCCCTTTACCTTCAGACCCTCAATGTCCTGATCTGTGAAGGGAAATAATTAAAAGATTGTCATGAGGATTAAAAGAGAAAGGTGTCCCTAAGTGTCTAGCCAGAATTTGAGTCTGCGGTAAGCAGGGCAAAATGTCCTGGGACTAGGGCAGCTCTGGGACCTAACAGAAGACTACTCCAAGTGGGAAGCCCTGAGAGGCCAGGCAGGAGTATTTGGCTTTCATTCATTCACTTGGCAACAATTTGCTGTATCACATGCCAAGTTCTGGAGAAACAGGACTCAGCCATGGTCCCTGCCTTCTTGCTGCAGCCTGGATTCTAGGAACATTGCCCTTTCTGCTCCAGTAGTGAGGGTGGCTCTGCAGTGTGCCTGTCTTCTCTTACCAAACCATGAACATTTCTGGAGCAGCTGACCAAGGTCATTTCTGTCTGGATGGTCTGGATCATAGGCTGGATGGTGTATGGGCAGGTCAACAGAAATTACTGGAAGGTAGTGTGGAGAACAACTGGTTTAACAACTTCTTACTATACAGAAGGGGAAACTGAGGTCTAGAAACAAGAGTGTTTGCTCAAGTAACAGCAGGATGCAGCTAGCACACCTCACCCACAAAGTGCTAATTGATGGGGTAAAGCTTTGTCTTAGAGGTTTGCCCAGGTTTGAGGCTATAGATTTGGTCTCCAGAATTGCAAAAAAAGCTAACAACCTATGAAGAAGACAAGCCCAGACACACAAAACTTAACTGGAGGCGGGACATGCAGCATGGCAGGGGAATTCCAGAAAGATTCATGGAGGCAGAAAGGAAGGGACAGGACCTTCTGGACACAGCTGGAACAAAAACACAGAGACAGGAAAGCTTTAAATGAGCCCATTGGAGCCAGGTGTGGTGGTTCACACTGCAATCACAGCAACTCAGGAGGCTAAGGCAGGAGGATCTCAAGTTCAAAGTCAGCCATGACAACTTAGCAATACCCTGTCTCAAAAGGAAAATAAAAAGATTGAGGAAAAAGGGTTGTGGATGTAGCTAAGTAGTAGGGTGCCCCTGGGTTCAATCCCCAGTACTCTCCCTCCCTCACACAAAGGCACACACAAGGTTAAAAAAAAAAAAAAAAAAAAAAGGAACCATGAAGAGAAGATGGAAAGGCCAGGCTGGGGCAGAGAACCCTGAATGCCCAGGTAAGGATTTGGAGTAGAATTACTCCATGAACTATAAAGAACAAAGCTGCTAAAGAACCAGCCACTCCCATTTTCCAGGACAAGTACAATGTGGCAATGCTCTGGTGCCATCTGCCCCAGTGAAGACAGAGCTGTGGCTTCTAACAAGAACACCAAATGACTCTTGAGTCACTTTCTGGGTAGTTCTCCTATGTGTGATTTCTTCCTCACATCTCCTCCATGACTTTTTCCTTGACTTCATTTTCTCCTCTGTCCCTGATTTTCATCCTCCTAAAGCCCTCTGGCAGGGGCAAAGGCTTAATCGACTGATTCTTGTTATTCATTTCTAGATGAAAGGATTCCAATATTTACATGTGAGTCCAAAAATCCAACTTACTGATGTACAAATCTGTTTGATGAATCAATGAGTAACTGGAAGAATCAGTGATGACCTCATGGTTCAGAACTTTGTAATCAGACCTGATTCTAATTGCTAAATCCTCTATGCCTCATTTTTGTTTTGTTTTGTGCAGGTCTGGGGATGAACCTAGAGCCTCGTGCATGCCAGGCAAAAGTTCTAACACTTAAGTCACATCCCCAACCCCAAAATTTTGTAATTGGATAGTGGGGAAAAGAATAAAAAATATCTCAAGGCAAGCACTGTTGCCAGTCTGTCAGTGAACCAAGCATGAGAATATGTTGTATTTCTAAGGTCCAGCAATCCTACCACTGAAAGTTGATTTAGTGGGACGCTGGTGGCCCTTGTGTCTATCAAAAGTGGCGGATGCACATAAAGGAATAGTATACAACAGCAAGGAACTAGATTTATGTGGGAAAATAGCTTTTTAAAACAGTGTCAGGGCATAAATAAGAAATACGAGATGTATAATGTACCGCTAATGGCGTAGATTAAAACTCAGACACAAATAGTTCATCAAATGTCGGTGGAAGGAGATGAGATTAAAGAGAAGCAAAGCCACCACAAGGATCTCACCCGGATGGCTCAGCGCAGCGGACTAAGGACAACGGTCAGCTCACGGAATGCACCCGAAACAAACACACAAAACCCGAACACAACATGCAATCAACGGTGGTATCTGCTAACAACCTGTTAACTTTCAGAGGGAAGCAAAAGTTTGAAGAATAAGCGCGCAGGGAAAACATGCGACCTGTCCCTGCACCTCCCTTCCCCGAGTCCGGGCACGCCGAGCGGGATTGGCTCCGCCGTCTCCGCCCCCCGGAACCTTGCCAGGATCTTTGGCTGGGAAAATGATCTGGTATTTTAACCCAATGCCATCCCTAAGCGACTCTTCCCCCCTCTCACAGAGACTGAGGTCATCAAATGGGGAGTTGAGGAGACCGACAAAGTCCCATCCCAGTCAAATCCGGGCATCCTCCTCGCCGGCCTTGAGCCACTAAGAGAACCTGGACTGGGAAGCAGGCAATTTGAGATCCAGTCCTCAAAAGCACTGAGCCCACAGGCCTTAGTAGTCTTCCCGCGTGCCGCGGGTGCGCGGGGCGTCGCTTTGGCCTTTGCAGCAGGGCTGGGCTCGGGATCGTCTGTCTCAGCCCGGTCGACTCCTGGGCGCGCCCTGGGACGCGCTTTTACCTTGGTCGGGACCCGCCAGGGCGCGCACTTGGATTTCATGGCCCCCTGAAGTCCCATCGGAGGTGCAGGCGCGGACCCCAAGGGGCCTCCAAGGGCGCAGGAGCCCCAGAGCGCGCAGCATCGCGCGGGCTGGGAAGGTGCTACTTGGCTCCGCAGCTGCCTGGGCTCCGCCGAAGACGCGTAGTTCCGGCGGCGGGCGAGGCCTTGCAAACTGCTCCACCTACGGGCCGACGCAGCGCCCCTGTCCTTAGCCCAGGGTGGTGGTGGAAAAGCTCTGCTTCTCCTTGTGATTTGGGGTAAAGCTTTTGTCTGTGCTTTGATTCGAAAAACAAGAATAGCGACAGTGACTACCTCGTGGTGGCATGGAGATTGAATGGGATGTGTGACCTTTGCTTACACATATATGCAGTAGATATGCTTTCATTTAAAATATGTCATTCATTAGTCGAGTATTGTCTACATTCACTTACCTACCTGAGTCGCCTCGCGTTTGTGCCTCAAATATAATGGAGGGCGACAGTGAGGCCAGTGTCTCACCTCTCACTAAATGTAATGCTCCTTCCAATTTAATACTCAATAAATTGGCTCACAAAAAATACTTGTGAATTGCTAGCTTCTGTCTCCCGTTGTCCACCCAAACTCCCTTTACAGATTCTAGCAGGGCGTTGTTTTGAAAGACCCCCATATCTCTGTCCAAGGAGAATCACAGGAAACACTGGCTGCAAAAGCAAGAGGTGGTTTATTGAGACACAGGCGCCTGCGGGTGCCCAGCAGAACCTCAGCCGGAGCTTTGGTGAACTGGCACACTTGGCTTGGGGATACAGAGATTTTTATAGGGTTTAGGACAGGTTTCGCGCAGGCGGGAAGCAACAGGTTTCTTATTGGTTTCTTTAAATCTAGCATACCCACAGGTTTACATTCCGTTGCTTATCTGTTCCGGTTTATTCATTCATGCCCCAGGATGTGGGTGCTCTGTTCTTCAACCGGTTGTCTGGAAAGCATGCCTGGCGCCTGAACCTGTTTATGGGGTGCCTGGTATCTTGGTTTCATATCTTGGCCTTAGGTAACTGGGCTAGGGTCTTTCAAGGTAACTGGGCTAACTGGGCTAGGGTCTTTCAGTTTGGCTCCCATGTGGTGGAACACTCAAGAGTGTTCAGTGAATATGCTCCCTTCCCCTCACTTCCTACCCTTTATTTGTTGAAGACCCCAAAGCCACCAACAGTTCTGCCCCATGCTGTACTGTTAGGTGATCTAAAAATTCTCTTTCAAGTCCCTGCTATTTGGGGGGGGGTCTCTTTGTCACCAATTAATACAGCCTCTTTAACAAAAATAGGATTACTGTTTTTTTTGTGTTGTTTGTTTTTGGTACTGGGGATTGAACTCAGGGGCACTCAGGGCCCAACCACTGAGCCACAAACAGGGTCTCACTGAGTTGCTTAGTGCCTTGCCCTTGCTGAGGCTGGCTCTGAACTCATGATCCTCCTGCCTCAGTCTCCCCAGCCTCTGGGATTACAGGTGTGCGCCCACCACAACCAGTGGGATTACTATTGTTTTGAGTCCTGGGCGAACAATCAACCAGAGATATTTTGGTTACAAATACCAGTTGCAAGGGAAAGCTACCTAAAGTGGCTTAAGTAAGAGAGGTTTAGTACCAGGGTACAATGAGCAGAATGGGCAGTGGAAATGTCCTGGTTTGGGCTGCTATGCCAAGCATACTATGGGATGGGTGGTTTAAACAACAAATACTTCTTTCTCAGTCTGGGAAGCTAGAAAGTCTCAGAGCGAGGCACTACCAGTCCCAGTGTTGAGAGGGCTTGCTTCAGGTTTTCCCACCATTTTCTCTCTGTGGCCTCATATGGCAGACAGCAGAGAGGGTTGAACTCAAGCTCTTCTGTCTTTTATAAGGGCATAATCCTATTCATGAGGGTTCCATCCTCACAAACTAATTACCTCCCTGAGTCTCTATCTTCTGTCACCACAGTGGGGATTAGGCTTCAATACATGAATTGTCAGGGTGTTGGGGGTAGATATTCAGTCCATAAAAGGAGCCAGATGCCTCCTTTCTGGAGGTGCATGGTCTGACCCTGCTGCTTCTCCTGGGCACCTTTCATACTGAAGCTTCCACGTGGCTGTTCTAAGCTTCCTCAACTCTCCATGGCTTTTTTTTTTTTTTTTTTTTTTTTTTTGCCAGAGATTGAACCCAGGGGCACTTAACCACTGAGCCACACCTCCAGCCCTTTAAAATATTTTATTTAGAGACAGATCTCATAAGTTGCTTAGCACCCCACTAAGTTGCTGAGACTGGCCTTGAACTTGAGATCCTCCTGCTTCAGCCTCCTGAGCCACTGGGATTACAGGTATATACACCACTACACCTGGCTTCTTCTCTCCATGGTTTTTGAATTTAAGCATTTACCATCATCAAGCATCACAGATCAGTCTAAATCCATATTCCAAGAGTTTTTGGTGGGCCTGCATTGCCCAGGCACCCATTTTGGGTTCAGCTAGGAGATGGAGGCTGCATGTGGTTAAATATGATCACTAGGGCTGCAGAGAGAAAATCCCCTAGGGAAAGAATTAGGTCAGCTCCTCCACATTGATATGGAGCCAGGTGGGGGAGAAAATAAGTTTTTTTTAGAACATGATTCTTTTGAATGATGCTGACCTTCTCAGAGGAAATGGTTTGTGAGAGGCAGACAACAGCAGATAAGAGAGCCCAACAGAGGGGCCTGCAGTTCAGGATTGGGAGTACAGGGCTTGAACTTTGAGTTGGAACGAGGACTGCAGCCTGAACACTAGAAAATACTTGCTTCAAGACATTTATCACTATTAGAAAATAACTTATTTTTGTTTTCTTTACTAAAATAAAATTTCCATTAGAACATAGCCTTTGTTTTCTTCACTGCCAAGCACATAGCAGTCACTCAATAAATATTTACTGAATAAATGAGTGCCAGGCTCTGTTCTGAGGGCAAGGGTTGGGCTATTGTCCCCTTTCCCAAAGGATTACCCTATTTTGAGGAGTTCAGCCAGGTGGGCCTGGACACCTGCTAGGGTTGGAAGAGAGGCTGGGGTTGTGGGGAGAGCTTGGCTCTGGATGGCCAGGCACATATCTGGGATGGTGAGGGTGGGTGGTGTCTTTCTGTTGCCTGTTTACTGGATCATATATGAGGGTTAAAACAGAATATGATTAAATCTTCTTTCTGTTTCCACATTTCACGTATTCTTTCTGGCTAGAGCATTCTCAGGTGAGACGAGGATGGGCAGTTGAGTCAGTTTACAGAGACCTCCTTGACTCTCAGGACTGAGACCACCCCACCAAGCTAGACTGGGGAGGCCTGCACTAGCTGTTGGTCTAAAGAATGTGAAGGAAGGGAGAAGGAGATCGGAAGAAGGCATGGGGCAAAAAGGAGTTAGAGAACTAGAAGTAGGGAATGGAGAAATAAAGAGAAAAGACAGAGGGACACATTTAAGGAAGAAATAATACCAGTTCTCCACAGTCATTTCCAGATAATAGAATGCAATACTTCATAATCCATTCTCTGAGGCCAGCATTATCTTAATACCAAAATCAGATTAAGACATTATATGAGAGGAACACTACGGATTAATATCTCTTATGAACACTGGCCAAAAAAAATACTTGACAAAACATTAGCAAATAAAATCCAACAATTGTTGGATTATTATTATCCAAAGGGTAATAAACCATGTCCTAATGCAATTTATTTCAAATATCCAAAGCTGGCTCTTTTTTTTTTTTTCCCAGTGCTGGTGATATAGCATGGGGCTTTGTGTGTGCGCCAGGTAAATGCTTTCCCACAGAGCTACATCCCTCAGCCCTCTGGTTCAATGGTTTAACTTTTGGAAATCAATGTAGTCTGCTATAACAACAAGCTAAAGAAAAAACATCTGATCATATTGATGACTGATGTAAAAGCATTTGACAAGGATACCTGGTGTGGTGGTGCACAGTGGTAATCCTAGCAGCTGAGGAGGCTGAAACAGGAGTTCAAAGCCAGCCTCAGCAAAGCTAAGTGCTAAGCAACTCAGTGAGATCCTGTCTCTAAATAAAATATAAAAAGGGCTGGGATGTGGCTTAGTGGTTGACTGCCCCTGGGTTCAATCCCCAGTTTAAAAAAAAAAAAATTTTTGACAAGGAAAAAAGGATTCTGGAAGATGGCAGAGTAGGAAGCAGAAGGAGTCTGTCTCCTTATCTGAACAACAATTACACTTGGCAGAATTGGTCTGAAGTACCTATTTCGGAACTCTTATAGTCTGCTGAAAACTTGAAACTCCTAAGGGAAGGTATAGACCATAAATGAAGTTGGTTTTAGTCAATTTTGTAAAATTTTTAAATTTTTTGTAGTTATAGATAGACAACATATCTTTATTTTGTTTATTTATTTATTTATTTTAATGTAATTTTATTTTTTTTAGTTCTCGGCGGACACAACATCTTTGTTGGTATGTAGTGCTGAGGATCGAACCCTGGCCGCATACATGCCAGGTGAGCGCGCTACCGCTTGAGCCACATCCCCAGCCCTATTTTGTTTATTTTTATATGGTGCTGAGGATCGAACCCAGTGCCTCATATGCAAGGCAAGTACTCTGTCACTGAGCCACAACCTTAGCCCCTTAGCCCTTTTAAATATTTTATTTAAAGACAGGGTCTCGCCGAATTGACAGGACCTTGCTAAGTTGGTGAGGCTGGCTTTGAACTTGAGATCCTCCTGCCTTAGTTTCCCAAGCTGCTGGGATTACAGGCATGTGCCACTGCACCCAGCCTGGATTCCTAGGATTTTAAATGAACTTCCAGGGTTCCTGTTTACCTGAAAGCTTTGGAACCTCCAGGGAAAATCAAAGGAAAATTTGGGGTTGAAGGCAAAAATGAGATTTGTGTCTTTTCACGTTCATCAATCCTGGGAATAATCAGGATCAGGAAGGAGAATGGCATAATTATTACTAGGAGTTAAAATCCTGAGTTTTACTATCAGTCAACTTTGGCCCAAACCTTCTTGGCTCCAATGCTTGTTAACAGGCCCAAATTTGGGCTTTTGTTGCTCAAAAGTCAATGCTCGGGAGACATGAGCTGGTGGAAAGGAAATCAGTTTTATTGAACAGGTGGCCTGAGATAACCGAGGGGCTATTGTCTTCAAAGCCCCATTTTAGGGAACTCAGGGACACAAAAGGGCTTTTATA